GGGATCCAGTATTGCATGATATTGAACCAATAGAATACCTGCTGCTGCCTTGGATGGAGGCCGTGTGCTGATGGTCAGTATTACACTGAATTGCTGGTTATACTTAATTTGCTAGCATTATACCATAGCTGGTCGCATAGCCTACCAGCTTGAAGTACTCCATGCATTATCGATCAGGCACTGAAAATTCGAGTCATTATTGTTGACCTTTTCCCATGAGTAAACCATTAGTGTACAACTCTCGTTGGTCTGGTATTTCTAGGCAAGTTCAGCTTGTGTTTATGTTGAGTAATATATATTTTAGTTCCTGGTTGATAAAGTCGGTCTTTTTTTTATTGTAGCATCATTGGCTTGAGAAATTAAGTAATAGTGTTGCTGAATTCTAGAACTTTTTAAACTTATATTTCTTCTCTAGAATATATTAGTAAAGATAGAAAGTATTATATATATAAATTATATTTAGAATAATTATAGATCTTAATATGAACTGCATCAAGTTAGACACTCAGCGGGGACTTAAATCGAGAGGGTCGATCAGATTTTACCTAGCAATACAACAACCAGCCTCAAGGGAGAGTATTTAAATAAGGATGAAGCAGTTGATTTTGAAGCACGAACTCGCATTACTTGCAATAACAATCCTGAGAATCACGAGTACTCTAAAACCTCCCCATACACTCCGTCTCCCAGTCAAGGACATTCCTACTCGACTCCTGATTCAAATCCGCCGGATGTACCGACTTCACAGAGCAATTTTGCAGAAGGATCGGAAACAGGATCACCTGGCACAATTTGCGCAGGCGGCCGAGCAGAGAAGCACTCTCAGAGAAGATTACTTTAATCGAAAACCCAGCCATCTATTGAAGACGCCCCTAATGGAGCTGAGCATAATGTTTCCAAGGATTTATCCTTCAATGATGACAGCTTTGGAGAGTCAGACATTGGATCTGCCAAAATTTCAAGCAACTGTCGAAGAGGCTTCTGACGATACTGATCATACTGATGACGATACTGGGTATAATGATGACCTTGAGTATCTACTCGACGACCTTGACAATATTAGTTCAGAGCGTGATGAGTCTGGCGTCGAGGACTTTGCAAGTAATCGACCCCCGAAAGACCTGGCGTCCAATCGCGGGGCAACGGACGCGACCGTAGTAATCTGAACCAGCCCAACGAGGAAAATGCAGGCCTGTCTTTTATCTCCGTCCGAAGCTACCAGCGCATACCACCATCTAATGTTGTCTCGATATTCCCAGCATCTGAGTTTTTCCATAGCCCTCTGCAATAAACCTGTTCCCCCTCATCTCAGAAATGATGACATCTCTTCTACGGTCCTTACCCCTGCTCGGACGAAGATGGACATCACTTAACTTCTCGAACCCGAACTTCGTTCGGATACCTGCAAGCCAGGCAATTGAAGAGGAGACCATCCCAGGTTATGTTGCTGCCCGGTACTATCCTACACAAATAGGAGAAATCCTCAAGAACCGATATCAAGTCGTGGGAAAGCTAGGATTTGGAGCTAGCTCAACTGTGTGGCTTGCACGGGACATGGAGTGAGACGCCCATGGAATCCATGTATATGATTATCTTGCCTCTACTCTTTCACTAACTGAAAGTACAGCTGCCGTCGTTATGTTACCCTCAAGATATTCATCAAGTCTGCATCATTAGGGCAGCAACTGGATGACGAGCTCAACATATACAAACGCATTGGAGGGGCCTCACAAAAACATCCAGGTCATAAATATGTCAGATCATTGCTCGACTCATTTGATGTTGATGGACCTGAAGATAAACATCGATGCCTTGTGCATCCTCCATTATGGGAGAGTGTATTAGCTTTTCTATTCCGCAACCCAATACGGAAACTGCCTACACCAGTTTTGGTTGTTGTGCTTCACCGTCTGTTTTTAGCACTGGACTATCTACATACAGAATGCAAGATTATACATACTGGTATGTGCTCCTATTCCGCCTTCTGCTTCTGTTATTTACTTGGGAATGCTATCAGACATTAAGGCGGACAATATTATGTTTGGCATCGCCGATGATTCGGTTTTTAGTGATTTTGAAGAGAATGAGCTTCAGGACCCCAGCCCTAGGAAGGAGCTAGATGGAAGGACAATTTACATTTCCCGGGAACTTAGAATGCCTAAGCAATTAGGTGCCCCGGTTCTATGCGACTTTGGCTCAGCTGTACTCGGTGATGAGAAGCACTTGGAAGACATTCAACCTGATATCTATCGAGCACCAGAGGTAATTTTGGAAGCTCCATGGACATACAGTGTTGATATATGGAATGTTGGATGCATGGTAAGACAACTAGTCTAATAATAGTGGTGCAAAGGTTAAAACTTACGTCGCAGATTTGGAACATTTTCGAAGGCAGGTCCCTGTTCACTGGCCAGGACCCAGAATTTCGGACTTACCGGAGTCGAGCGCACCTTGCTGAAATGATATGTCTTCTCGGCCCGCCGCCACCTAGTCTTCTTGCACGAGGGAATCTGACCCGAAAATTTTTTTCGGAGGAAGGTAAGTCAACTGCCGTCTTATTATCTAAGGCGGGTATTCACTCATTATATCTGACTTTCTAGGTAACTTCTGCGCTGGAATTCCAGTACAAGAACACACTCCGCTCGAAGAGAGGGAAACTACTCTTGAGGGACTGGAAAAGGAGAAGTTTCTCTGCCTCATACGAAAGATGCTACAGTGGGAGCCGGGAAAACGAAGCTCTGCTAAGGAACTAGAAGAGGATGAGTGGTTGCAAACAGAACTACATAAATAGTCTGGAGGTTCATGTACCTACGTCCGTCCTGCCATTGCAGCTCGCGCTGACCAATGAAATATGCATGGAGCTTTTGTGCAGCACCTCCTGGAGACACTAGGGCTCGTCCCAGAGGAAAGGTGAAACACGAGACTGCTCACAGCACTAACATGGGCCCCCTGATTCCTGCACTTAGCTAGCCGCCGGTACATGGGATGGCAACTGGACCAGAGTCTCATGACGTGATCAGGAGAGGATGGGGGAAGGATAGCAGGAAGGATAGCCTAGGCACTCAACCTAGGGAACACCCGATCTGCTTGAGACACCGAGGAGAACCAGTTATGGCTCAAATGCCCTGCGTATATAGGCGACTTGGGGCGAGGAAAAGGAACTGACAGCATTCAAACAGGGCTCACGCCCAGGAACGCAAAGGAGCAGAGATCAGTAAGCAGCTTCACCTAGTGGTACCAGACTCTGCCTCGGACCCGTGGTCTGTCATAACTTTAGGGCTAGATATAGTTAAATAGACAATAAACTTGATTATTAATAAATAATAATGACGTGATCAGCGTATATGTCGCCCATTGATTTGCCTATATAGTTACAACCTTCTGATTGGACGCTAGTGGTCTGAGTGACTGACTTCCAAAGAAAAAAGAATACCACATAGTATGTCCGCATATTTGTATCCGTGAGCACCTTTATCGAACCTATCTATAGAGTGCAAGAATATTTTGCTTCCCCCCCATTTCCCCCCCCCCCCCCCCCCCCCCCCCCCCCCCCACCACTGAAACTGAGAAAACTCGAGTCGAAATCACAACCTTCTCAGGCTTATTATGGCGACTTGGGGTTATGAAGTGAATTAGTGACTGAATACTGGCGTGATGGCTGGATGCTGGAGGACACTTATTCTTGACTCGCTCAACTTGCGATTGATATGTGTGCAATATGGCTGCAACAGCTCCTACGGAAACAATGGAGGATCAGGAAAAGTATGGTGGAAAAGGCGAGAGTGTACTGAATTGCGGACTTGAACACGGAGATAGATGACATTAGAAATTAAAGATACACTGAAAGCCCCTTAGAGATTCGTCGAGACCAGTAGCATTTCGCTACGCTTTTACCGTCGTTTGCTGAGTTTTGTACTCCAATGTACCTTAATGGAACCCGAACTTCTTCCCGGAAAGACTTGATCAAACCGGCTAATTGCTTCCGACCATGTCAGTTTTTCCTCCTCTTTCAGCCTCACTAGTAGTCTATCTTCTCCCGACGACCATGCGAGGCCTTTCCTCGAGGAGTGAGAGTCCGCTGGAGCATCTTCCAAGTCGGGTGAAGAGTCAGTGCTTGATGCGGCATGTGCCCTCGAGGCGACTCGTGATGAAGTGGTCGTTGTGCTCGAGGGAGAATTCAGACACTGAGATAGAGCACCTTCGAACAGCCAGGACAGGAACTGCATCCGGTCCTCTGCTGTCAAAGCAGAAAAGTGAGCCAGAATTGTGGAGAACGATGCGTTCTTGCTGTGTGCCCCCCGAGATAAGCACGCTGACCTCTTTTGAGAACGATTATCGATAACGACAGAGACTTTGTTAACTTTGGGAGATCAGGCTCAGTAGGTAGTGCAACCAGATGCGGTTTTAGTAGGATTCTGTTCTGTAGTTGGGAGACGGCAGCCCTCCAAGATTGCCGGATCTACAGCATGCTCGCTCAGCGAATCTTCCGACCTGGGCGAAATTCGGGCCTGGGAAGCCAGAGGCGGATAATCCTGACCAGTCAAGAAGGAGAGGTCTCCATGAACCGACCCAATGTTGGTTCGTTGTTCAAAAACGTCGTTGCAGGGTTCGCAAACTATATCATCAATGCTTCCAGGGCTTGGGAGATTTTGCAGATGCAGAATGTCCTCGAAGTCGAGGCTACCAGAATCACCGTCGCCAGTTGAGTTCTGGTCCATCACATCCGGTTGCCGAATCATTTAAGCGCTCGACGATGGACCACCAATCCACCATCTAGGTAAACAGACCTCTGGAGGGATTTGTGGTTGCCTGCGTTGCTCAACCAATCACGCAGAAGCATCGGAACTTTCGGAAGTCGGCACGTGAGCATTTGCTGCCTCAGGTTTCTTCCCTGGCACGGGCGGGTATTCCCACCTCCCAAACCCAAACTCCATCAAAATTCCTCACTTTGCTTATCCACCACGGCATCTCTCCTCCACAATCTCGGTTGGTTTCCCATCATGCCACGATGGAAGCGCAAAGAGAAACCCTTGACCAGCGCGACTGGCCCACAAATTTTATCGACAACAGCAGGCGAGACCGGACGGAGCAAATCTGAACCTCACTCGATCGCCCTTACCTCTCTTCGAGCAGTCTCCGGTGAGATCTACAATGCAGCCGAAGCGCAGAGACTCGCCAAGCAGCACGCCGAGTTTGGTCCCCTTGGCGATCCGTCGCATCTCTACGTGAGCAAACACAGCGGGGGCGAAATCCCCGACCCGATCCTCGACGAGCCGCCATACTTTACCGCTCTCACGACCTACATCAGCTTCCTCGTTTTGATCTTCCTCGGCCACTTCCATGACTTTTGCGACAAGTACTTCCGATCTCACACATACAAGCACCTCCGCCCGCAAAATGGCTATGCATCGCTGTACAGCGATTTCGAGAGCTTCTATACACGACGCATGAAGCGGCGGATCAATGACTGTTTCGAGCGACCGACCACCGGGGTTCCAGGGAGATATATCACTTTGTTGGATCAGCAATCGGATGACAAACTCCATTTCCGGCTCACAGGGACGACCACGGACACTTTGAACCTTAGCTCGTACAACTATCTTGGATTTGCGCAGTCCGAGGGTCCCTGTTCCGATCTCGCCGAAGAAACTATTCGTCAAAATGGAATCACTATGGCCGGCTCTGTTGCCGAACCCGGCACACCACAGCTTCATGCCGAGGTCGAGCAACAAGTGGCGCGGTTCGTGGGCAAGGAGGATGCGATTGTCTTTTCCATGGGCTTTGTTACCAATGCCACGATTTTCCCTGCCCTCATGGATAAGGGATGCTTGATCCTCTCGGATGAACTCAATCATGCGTCCATTCGCTTCGGGGCACGTCTCTCGGGAGCTGCCATCCAGGTCTTTGCGCATAACAACATGGCGGATCTGGAGAGACGACTTTGAGAGGCAATCTCCCAGGGCCAACCCCGCACCCACCAGCCCTGGAAGAAGATCCTGGTCTCGGTCGAAGGTCTATATTCTATGGAAGGCACTATGTGCAATCTGCCTCGCATCCTGGAGCTTAAAAAGCGATATAAATTCTACCTCTTCGTTGATGAAGCTCACTCCATCGGCGCGGTCGGGCCTCGTGGGCGGGGAGTCTGCGATTTCTTCAAGGTCGATCCCGCTGAGGTCGACATTCTCATGGGTACATTTACCAAGTCTTTTGGTGCCAATGGTGGGTATATTGCGGCAGACAAGACCCTCATTAAGAAACTCCGTGCCACGAATGCTGGACAAATATTCGGCGAGGCCCCTGCTCCTGCCGTCCTGGCACAGATCTCCTCCTCTTTGCGACTGATCGCCGATGAGGATCCTCTCCACCCGGGTCAGGGCCTGGAACGGGTACAGAGACTTGGGTTCAATTCTCGATATTTGCGACTGGGCCTAAAAAGGCTTGGTTTTATAGTTTACGGACATGATGATTCGCCCATTGTGCCGTTAATGCTGTACAACCCAGCCAAGATGCCAGCATTCTCCCATGAGATGCTACGACGGAAGATCTCTGTCGTGGTGGTGACCTATCCAGCCACCCCACTGGAGCTATCTCGGGCCCGCCTATGTGTTTCTGCTGCTCACACAAAGGATGATCTTGACCACATACTCCGAGTATGTGACGAGGTCGGTGATATTCTGGGCTTAAAGTATTCCACAGGCGTGGCTGGAGGATTAAAAGAACCGCTGCCTCCGGGACTGCGTGTTAGAGATGCCCGGAAACTGATCAGTCCCCCACGCTGGAACGTAGAAGAGGTCATTGAGCGAGGGTCTCGGGATGTACATAATCCTCTCTATTGACCATGGTGCTGGAGGGAGTAAACAAGTAGACACCGCGATACAACATATAGTATGTAATCTTTAGACTTATAATGTTTAGATACTAATTAACGAGGGCATGACAAACAATAATACTTATTTTCCTGACACCAAGAGACTTCAACTTGGTTATTTGCGTTCAGCCAAGGGCACCACCTCATGATCCTCGCTAATGAAAGCTGCCAGCGCCTCCAACGCAGCTTCCAAAGCCTGGGTGCTTTGCCCAAACCCCAGGCGAACATAACCCTTAAACATCTCTCCAAAGCACTTTTGCCCCGGCACGAGTAGCACACCTTTCTTTTCGAGCAGAAGGATACACAGTTCGAGATCATCAATGGGTACGCCGTTTCGACTAAATTTGACAAACCCGACTGGTCCAGCTACTGGGCGTACCCATTCGCAGACCGAAGAATGCTGGTCAATAAATGATTGCACAACCTCTAGATTGTGCTTTGCGAGACCTAGGTTGCGTTTCATCAATTCGCGCAGACGAACAGGCTCGAGGGCCATAGCAGCGATTCTCTCGTCGATCTGGCTAACCGTGATAACCGTATAGGAGCGCGCGTTGAGACAGAGATCGAGAATGGAAGAACTATGAGAAGCTATCCAGCCCACGCGAATCCCGGCGAGGGAAAAGGTCTTTGAGAGTGAGCACGTCACGACTGATTTCTCATATCCAAATGCGAGCAGGGAAGGGGGATATTCGGGGTCCGTCGGCGAGATTGAATGGTACAGTGCGCGATAGATCTCATCGCTGAAGACGATGATGGAGTGTCGCCGGGCCAGGTCGACTATCTTACCAAGAGTTGACTTGGTAATAATGGTGCCTGTGGGGTTCTGAGGGTTGCTGGAGTAGAAGAGCGTTAAATGAATAGAAACGACCTGAGAAAGAAAGGAGACCGCTTACTTCAAGACGATCATCCTGGTATTGGGCTGGATGAGACGCTCTAATTCCTCCATATCCAGCCGCCAATGATTATTCTCGCTTGCTTGCCAGATGCTCACTTCCGCACCCAGACAGGCTGGAAGAGAGTATAACTGAGGGTAAGTTGGATATTGGACAATGACATGATCTCCGGGTCCGATCAGGGCAAAGAACACGATAAAATTTGCCAGCGATGCACCAGGTGTGGTGATGATGTTGCTGGGAGATATGACAGCCTGTGATTCACTGGCGTACAATGCAGCTATATTCATGCGCAGCTCTTCAAGGCCTTTGAAAGATGGACCATAGTTCATTGGCAGTGACAGAGTCGTGGCCAAGGGGTTATCAGCATGTTCAACAGCGTCTTTACCTAGCGAACTGAGCTCCTGGATAGTGACAGGAAGGGAATATGAGTGGGCAAGATTGTGCTTCGCTCCAGGACTGCGAGTCAGAATCCACTATTGCACTCCGATCAGTTTGTTTTCATCTCTACCAGAAATTGCACATCTCTTACATGATCAATCTCAAATGTATCAAGTTTCACCATTGTGAGTATAGTGATGTTGGATTATCAATATTTCATTATCCAAATGACCTCAAAAGTAGAGGTATAGAGCTGATATGTACCCCATATTTATGCATTTACCATATCCTTTGTATTGATGTCATATGACTCATATGTCTCCCACAGGGCGTGCGTTGATTCCCTCCTACGTATGGTTGTGCTGGCAATACGAGACCACATATACGCATTTTGCTGGGCCGATATTAGCCGTAGGTGTAGTGTTCCTCAAGTCTGGACAGGATATTTGCTTCATGCTCACGACCGATGCTCTACATGGAGACATCCTTATCATTCTTTCAGTTGTCCGATGATTAGAATTTTTTATTGTCCCCGTCGCCGGGATATCAAAATACATACGAATAACTATCCGCCGCAGTTCAGACCCCAGGCCGAACCATATCCATAGCAGGTTCGGCCCGGATCGGGATGGGTACTGCGAGCCAGGTGTCAGAGTCTAGGTGTTCTTGTTCAAGTAACACTCGTCTTCATGAGGTAAAGACCTTGACGACTATGCACCATGCTGTAAATGAAGTCGTGCCCATTCCTCCGCAGTCAAAGCATGGATCCCAACCTGACTGTTCCAAGTCTGTGACAGATCCCACGCTACACCACGCCCTTCACCAAAAACGACCTGATATTTGAACAAGGCGTTGTCGGGGTCCCTCGCAAGATCAACCCGAGCAGCCTCCACGGTTCTTATATGCCTGGTAAATTTGCGTCCGGTGATCCTCTCCACTAACTGTGCCAGCTGTTCATAAGTCAAGGTATCTCGAGCGATATAGATCGGCTTGTTACCGAAGACCGAGTCAGTTCTCGAGCCAAGCACAGCCTCAGCAGTAATTTTGCCAATATCCTCCGGTGCTGTTACAGATACCTTGGTATCCAAGCTTCCAAGGGCCACTATGGTATCATCCTTGAAGTTGACGACCCCAAACCAAGGCTCAAACAAGAAACTGGTGAACATGCCAGTCGATATGATCACCCACTTAGTCCGGTTGTGGGAGCGCAGGAGATCCCTCACATCAAGCTGCTCATCGAATAGATCCTGCGCGGAACCTCGTCCGATAGTATCGTAATCCACTCCAAATTGCCACGGCACGTATCGAGGAACTTGAGCCGCCAGAACAGCACGGGTAAGTTTGAGCTGAGTGCCAGAGCCAGCTGCAAAGCCGGTACAGCCGATGATTGTGTCGTATGCACCAAAGATGTCTGAGAGTTGCTTTTCGGAATCTTTGGCAATGTCACCAGGAATAAGTTGCACATTCAGGTTGCGCAGTACCGCGAGCTCCTTGACTTTGTTCGGATGGGTGGATGCGATACTCAAAGGCCGTAGTAAAACAGCAATCGTTGCGCCATCTCGATGAGGATGCTGGGCAAGAGAGTGTAAGACTTGGTTGCCCAGCTCGCCTGCGCCAATAACGAGGATCTTCGCGCGCCCAGCCATGCTCTACTATAAAATAGGATTTTTCAGTGTGCTAAACCAAGCCTTCATATGTGGAGAAGTTGTTGTGATATTTATAACGATATATTACCATGTCAGCCTCGGAATTAAGTTGTTACATCCATACGATTACGCATCCATGTGGACTTTTCAGGGCCCTTGTTGATGTTTTCATGTGTCACCATGCTCGAAACATTCATAGGTCACTACGCCTAGTCAGTCAAATGCAAGTCATGCAACAAGTCTTATTCTTAGTTATGGAATGTTTCTTGGGAAGGCTAGATTGGTAAGCAAGACCCTCATTCGGAGACTTTAGCTAAAAGTTACTTCATCTCCCAATGAAATTCCCTCCGAAGAGAACTCCAACCTTGCTTTCATCGAACCGCCATACTACAAGCATGAGAATTGATGTTATTACGAACAAGTTAATATAGCAGATAACTGTTGCGCCATGGAGCTTGATGCCTTCAAAGCCGGCAAGCTCAACAGCCAGCGGAAACTGGTCTATCATTTAAGCTCGAATATCGGTATTCGTCTTCGTTAAGAATATACATGCATCTCCTGAAGCCGCGGGTAACCATTCGGCGTCTCTCTCTCTGCATTCATGTACTAGTTCCTGGCCCAGAAAACGTATACCCCAGTCGGTTGATTCTGTGAAGCTGGCTGTCAGGCGCTCACCATCCTCCTGCTATGATGAGATTACACCCAGTCCCGAATGCTCGACTGGTAGCGCAATATACACACTCCCCAGCAACTTGGATATACGTCCCTGTAACATGTCCGTCTGCCCAGAAGAGGATCATGGGCAGGTCTCCGGCCGTCCAGTGGTAGACCGTCTCGTCATACCCGATGTGCAGCTTCTCGTCCGCTCGATACTTGTGCATACTCGCTAGTGAACAACCATTAAGACTGGACCCCTGGATGGTCTTCTTAGGATCGGCTTGATGGCACCCGCACTGCACACCGAAAACCCCCTGGCCACCAAAGGGAATGGGCCGAAAGTCGCCAAACTGCGATACTTTGCCCACCAGCTGCCCTCCTGGTGTCCTTTTGATACTGACGGCAATCGTCTCGAGCTCGGCAGCATAATAACAGTTGTTCCCATGCACGTCCTGTTTCAAAACATTCCGCCCCAAATTGCCCATCTTTCTTAGCAGCGGCGAAGGGACGAAGCTCTTGCCCACATCCTTTGCGAGTCCGATGGTAAAGTCCTTGGCCACCGAGCGGACATGTGGATGATTCCGCGGCCGGCGAAGAAGCGCTTCGGCCCAGCCGGATATCATGTAAATGGGCTCACCGTGCTTCGGACCTGCTCCGCGGTCGATCTTAAATTTCACATTTGGCATGTCCTCTGCTCGGTTGAGTCGGGGTTTGCCGTATTCCACAACGCCGATCTGCACCAGCGAATCGTAGAAATTTGCCGCTAGCTCAGCAAAATTCTCAAACGGATTCTCCAGACTCCCCAACAGCTGTCCGTTAAAGCTGTCTGCCAACGCGTACCCTGTGAAGACAGTGTAATGCACTCCGAGCATGGCCGCAATATAGCGTCTCGCCACTCGTTCATAGTAACAAGCATGGGCCATCAGCTCAATCAGGTCGGCGAGACTCACTTCTCCCAGACCGCAGAACTGCGCCAGGCCGAGGATTCGGGCGAGAAGGAGATCATGGTGCGCTGGCGAGCGCAACGACTTGCGGACCATGCTGAGCGCATACCGGCCCAGAACAGTCTTCGCAATAGTCGGCATAAACTGAAAGGGATTGATGCGTTGCAGCATCCATTCGCGATACTCCGCCGGCCACGTTGCTCCTAGGCGCTCGCGGATAGCGGCGCCTTTGGACGGGGAGTTGACATTCACGATGACCGGTTCCTGTAATCCGAATGATTTGAGGCGTCCGGCTGAAAGTCCGAATCGGTCGCGCGCACGACTGATGTCTGTGTATGCGGTGAAGAACAACCTCTCCACTCCGGCTGGAGTCATTATCCATCCGACCCGGGCCGTTTTAGCCTCTTCCTGCGAGGCAGGCATCAGCGGTGTGAGATACCCCAGCTTGGTCAGGCGGACAAAAAGCGTCTGGATCTCCTCAAGGAATTGCTGACAGGCTCGGCGGTCGAGGTAGAACTGGGTGATTTTTACTCCTGCCCCAACGAGCAGTTTGACCGCGGCAGAGAGGGGGTCTCTGTTACTGTGTTAATGGCAGCACCTTGAACATAATGCATTATCTGCTGACCCAGAAGAGAGGGCTTCTCCAACCAACTCAACTGCCAACTCACCGACATCCGCCATTTGGACTGATCAGGCTGGATGATGTCTTGAGCAAAAGTACTCCGTAAGCTGTGCGTGTTGGTTATCGTAGTGGGTCTACTGCGTGGAGACAGGATAGAAAGAGGAATAAAAGGACTCAGGCTGAATGATCAGTTTTAAATAACATTACTGGCCCTCAATTTTGCAGTCCTCAGACTTGTGTTGACGCGCTTGGCCTAAAGAGAGTATAGTGGAAGGTTTAGGCCGCGTGAATACGAGGTTTCCCATTTTAGCGAGCAGCAAACTTCAGACGGTTACTCCAAGGAAGGGAAGAACTTAAGCATTTCTCCCTGTAGATACTCCGTACTCGATAAAGGCTGCAATGGAAACTTATTTAATAGACTGGGTAGGTACAGACCTACAGTGCTATTTTCTTCTCTATATTAGATGGGCTTGATATTGATTATGTACGGAAAGGACAAAAACTATGGACATGCACAGTAAAACGGATACTATCTTAGAGCAGGATTTCAGGGTTGTAAACTTTAATTGTAATCTATGTAGAGTTTCAGTTTCAGTCCCTGGGATTATTGCAGATCTCCTGTCCTATATACCAGCGTAGGGACATGTCCATGTCCAGTGCTGCCTCTACTACCCCGGAACTATTTCTCCAACTACTCCCTCCACGGTAGTTTAGTCATTCGTGGAATCCTGAAGCGCTTCGTCGCGCGCTCGCTATTCCCAGACTTAAAAAGAATAGTTTAGTAACCCAGTCTCAATGTTCGCGGGATTCGTGCCGTCCGCTGATTTTGTACGGCCTGGAGTTGTTCCACGAAGAGCTGCTCTATAAGGCATCTCTAAAGATGTACTGGGAGTAGTCTCTTCATAAAGGCGCCAGTGTATGCAAAGGAATACACGGGTAATGCGGTGAGCGCCTCTTCTATGCAGTACTTTGTTCTTATATATTTAGCTGACAGTACTCATTCGAGATAACTATGATTATTGTGGATGGTCTTGGCATCACAGTTTTTGCCTATCATGCTCATATCTATGTGTAATCAAGTCTCAGCCTCGGCGTCGTTGATTTTTCAAAACTCACATACATTGACATCCCTGTTCACACCAGTCTCGCCATGTCAACGCCGATCAGGGACCTTACAGCATTTGAGAAGCGCTGACAACGGGCGGTTTGTGTGGCCATACTCAGTATGGCGAAGATCCAATCACATGATCTCACTTAGTAGATAGCTCCTTCCACTATATAATAGTAAACATAGATTTACATATATAATAAATTAATAAAATATCTTTATATTCTGAACCTCTCTCTATTTATTCTATAGGTTATAAGCCCAGAGCCTCTTAGAGAGCTCTAGGGAATTATTCCTAAGTTCTTTCCTTAAGCTATTTTACTACTTTTTACTTTTAAAAGCCTCTTTTAGCAGATATTCTATCTAAAATATTTATCTAGGCTAGACATTCCACCTAAGATAGAAATTATCCTTTTATTATCTTTATTAATAGGGCCCTGTAAAAGATTCTTATATTTAAGAATCCTTATAGGTATAGAAGCCTAGTAGTTATCCTTAGATATATCTAAAACCTTATTCTCTTAAAGGATATATCTAAAACCTTATCTCTTTTATTAAAACCTTTCTTTAAGATACCTTAAGTAGATCTCTATAAGCTACTATTACTTATAGATATAGATTTCTACTAAATATAGTCTAAAGCTATAAAGACTTACCTATATAGCTAGGGGGTCTAGTAGACTATTAATAGAATTTATAAGAAGCTAGAGCTATAAGAAATAGGCTATTAGACTAGATTATCTAATAATATTAAGCTTTTTAAGTAGTAAGAGAGAATTAAAAAGATAATTTAAGATTAGAAGAAGATAGATAATAAGGCTTATAGTACTATCTATTTTATTCTTTCTTATACTATTAGATATAAAGTAATTAATTTAGAATTATCTAAAGCTATTTAGGATTATCTTAATATAAAATATAATATAATAGTAGATATCTAGTCTTTTAAGGGGCTATAGATAGCTATTAATATACTATATAATAGCTATAATAGAATCTAAGATTATATATTAAAGCTATCTCTTATACTTAATAAATTTAATTATAGCCTTAAGAAAGGTAAGTAGCTTTCTAAATCTATTAAGATCTAATTCTTACTCTATAATCTTAATAAGATATAGGAGATATTCTTTATATCTTATCTTAATAGTTACTATAATAAGAAAACTGCTATATTTAATAGTATTATATAGATTCTAATCTAAGAGGAGATATATATAAAGTTTAATATATTATCTATAAATATTATAAAAGTATAGAAAGGGAAGAAGCTAGCTTAGAAGAATAATAATTCTAAGGATAAATTAAATTAATTAAATTAGTTAAATTAATCTAATTCTAATTCTAATTTAAATAACTAGAAAGATTCTAATAGTAAGGTTCCCTGGGAAACTAGAAAGAACTAGAAGTATTACTATTATAGTAAAATAGGCTATAAGAAACCTAACTACTAGGAGTTAAATCTAGATAAGAAGCCTAATAAGAAGTCTTTATCTAATTAATCTAATAATTATAATCATACTTATATAATAGATATAGATAATAAGATATCTAATAGCTAGTATTTAACTATCTTAATATTTAAAGAAATAATACTTACCTTCTATACTATTAATAATAATAATAATAGAGTCCTTACCCCTACTAATAATAATAATTTAATTAATAATAATAGTATCCTTACCTCTAAACTAAATAAATAAGATATTAAAAATATATAGATAGTAATTATTACTATTAATCTAGCTCTATGCCTGCATACTAGTACTAATAACTAGATTATTAACTTAGGAGCCACTAAATACTTTATTATAATATCTATAAACTTTATAGATAGCTTAAGGAAGCCATGCAAATAGGGTATTAAAATAATAATAGGGTAGATTATATATTCTAATTCTATTAGAGATATTATCTTATATCTTACATATCTAGGTAGATATACTAGATATATTATTATTACTAATATTCTCTATATCCCTAAAGTAGTAGTTAACCTTCTAGGTACTATTTAATTAGGCTATAAGGGTCTAGAAGTTAATCTTCTACTAGATAGTATTATTATTACTTACTTATTAGATAAAATAATTATTAGATATAGAGATATTATCTAGAATATCTATATTCTTTATCTTATGGGAAGTAATGCTGCTATTAAGGCTAATAAGCTAGTTAAACTAACTAAGCTAGATATACTATTTAAAATATAGCTAATAGTATTCCCTTACTACCCTAAGAGAGATAATAATTAACTATTCTCTTAGTAAGATTACATGCTATAGGAAGATTATAAGTAAGCTAAGTAAGAATTAGTAAAACCTTATTCTAATATTAAAATTTATATCTAGACTAGATAAGAGGTCCTAAGCAAATAATATATACTTATTTTAGATCTACTATATAATAATTATACTAGTATTTATATATTAAAGAAAGATAAGATTAATTTAATAACTTAGTATTATTATTTTATATATTTATTAATTCCTAATATTATTTATATATCTAAAATAATTAATAGAATTAGGCTGGCCGCGTGGGAGGGAAATCCCATGGGAAATTCCCTCCCATTGGGAAATGGGCATCCCATATTAATTTCCCATCCCATTTTGGGATTCCCAGGGGATTTCCCTAATATATCTAATGGGATGGGACTCCTGAATAGCATAATCTAGATAGGAAGGGCTAACTATATAGGATTTCCTATATTAATAGGTATCCCATCCCATTTTCCTGCTTCTTTCTTAGGAGTCCCATCATCTTAGGTATTTAGGTTAGGGAATCCCATATTTTCTTAGCTTTGGGATGGGATTCCTATTAAGTATACTAGAATAGGAAGGGATTTCCTATAGGAGTCCTAAATTTATAAATATAGCCTTAATACTAAAGTATTTACAGACTGTTACCTATGATTATTACTAGACTAAATATAATTATAGAAAATATAGTAATAGTAACTATAAATAATAAGTTATAATCATAATTCTATTCTCTATTAAGTAATAGTTATTAGTAATAGACTAGGGAATAACTGCCTGAATAATAAGTTATAATTTTATTTAATCTATTTTATTAACTTTAGGTAACAAACACTAGTAATAAATCTAGTAATAATCTCTAAAATTACTAGTTAAATTAATCCCATTATTAATTTTTTTAAGTTATAAATCATAATTCTATTCTCTACTAAGTAATAGTTATTAGTAATAATCTAGGGAATAACTACCTAAAAACTTATAATTCTCTTTAATCCATTCTACTAACCTTAAGTAATAAACACTAGTAATAGACTTAGTAATAATATCTAAAACTACTAGTTAAAAATCCCATCTGTTAACTTAAGTAATAAACACTAGTAATAATAATAGATAGGGGAAATAACTACCTAAATAGGGGTAGAGGCTTATTAAAGCTCTCTATTAATACTATTACTACTATTAGTACTATTACCACCAGCATTATTATTACTACTAGCATTATTATTACCACTAGTATTATTATCACCACTAGCATTATCATTACTATTATTATTATTATCTAACTTAGTTATATTATTAGACTTAGAGTTAGAAAAGTCTATGCCTAAGCACTACTCTAGATTAATATCTAAATCATACTTATTCTTATTAGCTTTTATATTAGTAAAGAGGTAATAGCCTCTAGTAATAGTATTCTTAGAGTCTGCTACCTAAGCTATATTATACTTCTATAGTATATATAGCTCCTAATTAGTAAGAGGCTTAGGCTATTCTAGTCCCTTCTAGCCCCTAGTTACTATATTAAGTATAAAGTCTATAGTAATTTTAATCTACTACTTAATATATTATGCAGCTTCTTCCTATTATTTAGTAGGTTTCTTAACTAGTGATTTAACTAAGTTAGGCTCTAGGCCCTGAAGTTATTTTAAATTAGTTATAAGGGATAGTATAAGCTATAGATTATTAGCTTATA